TTAAATAAACTAAACTAAAGAATCTTTCAGTCTGTTATTTCTTAGTGCTGAGTGTATCTTGAAAGAAAACCTTCAAGAAGCTTCAAGACAGAAACCCATAGTACAAAGCAAGTAGCCCGAAAGAATAGCTTGGGAAAACTCAAGTGAGCGAAAAATAAATGAGACATTGAGAAGCCTTTCGACGGTTTGAACGTTTCAACGTTTGATACGGTGATTGGCGAATGTCGAATGAGGGAATAATTGAAGAGAAGACCTAATTAAATGTTGACATGTTATATAGGATCAATAAAATCAATACCTAGGCAGAAGTAAATTTAAAAAAAGAACTTTTAAGTAATCCGACCGAAAGAAAATCTAATTAAAAGAATTAATTAAAAATATTGTTACGAAAACCCAAGCTATGTGATTATAATGATTAAATTTTAATTAAAATATATTTTCGTGCGGTGCGCGACGATAATTATTTATGGTATGGTAATTGAAGTCCGACTAAAAATTCCTGCATCAAAAATTCCACAACTAAATTTGAGGTTTCCGGTCATTTTGGTCGGACACACCACTAATCTAAATTTCAATCAACCACAAAAATTAATGTAACTAAAAACGTCTAATTAAATTTTAATCAGCACGTGAATATCTAGTATATTATAATTAAAGTATTTGTAACTGATTATCAGCAAAATATTCATTAATTAAATTATAAACTGACTCAAAACAAACCGGAATTTAGCAAATAATATACATTCATGCATTTCAAAATTAATGCAGTGGTAAGTTCTTGTTTATCTTTGTGATAATGAATATTATGACAAACTTGGAAAGTAATTTAAATTTACTCAGCGCTAATGAACTAAAACTAAAGTTAAAGTAAAGAAAATGATTGCAAAGTTAACTCAAGTAAAGTGTAGGAAGAGGTAGAGTGTAGGGAAACTCCAGCGGAAAACTAAGCTTAATGAGCGAAAACGATAGGACAATAAATAAAACAAGACCATGTGCAGGTGAGAAGGAGTAAAACGTTAAGAGACGAGTGGAAGAAGTTGGGAAGATATCGAGATTTTAGCAAGCACATAAATCTTGCTGGATTGCAGGTGAAGCAAAATGCAAAACGCGGAAAGTGGAAAGCGAAACGCAAAACCCGTAGGTACTTAGGCAGGCAGCAAAGTAGCAAAGATGCGAAGGTGTGTGCGTTTGGGCTTAATGAACGCATTCGTTATAATGCATGATAAATGGCTCAACGATCTGAGAAACGCAGAGAGTAACAGATCGTGAAATGCAAGCAAAGCATAATTATTTATCTTTACAGTAAAATCATCGAAAACTACAAAATTAATACCAACATTTCTGGAATCAAATTCAAAAATTAATTTTTAAGTTTTTTTCTTGCTTTTTTCCAGTTTTGTGAAAACATAATAATCTTATTTTTGTGATTGTTTTGACTGACTTTTGACAGTGATTCCAAAGCATTCCACACTTTACACGTTAAAAGTCTGCAAAAAGCTTGTAATTTTGTATTTTTATTTTGTATTCTCGCATTTTCTCATTTTATAATTTTCTTTTCCTGAGGCATGCAACCCCCACACATCACTCACTTTCAGCGAACAAAAGCAACTGAAAACAACAACATGCTCGCCTAACCTCATTTCTAGAGCTTTATTTTTATGTACACAATAAATTTACTTTTTTCACTTTGCTGCATCTTTAACTTCACTTAAAACCTAAATAGTCCAAAAAGCTTGCAAACATCTCACGGTGTTTTACACCCAATCACCGAGAGTAGTACCAGTACCTAAGAATTCGAGAAGTTTCGAAAATGTTGAGAGTTGAGAAGCGTGGAAAGTGTACCCGCGCAGAAGACGACAAAGTCCTTGTCATTCATAATGAATGAGCGTCGCTTCCACGACTTCCGAGCAGGACGATGCTCTCTGAGAAATGGCAGCAATTGTGTAAACGCCATGCCGAGTTCCAAACTGTCTGTCACGCCTCTCGTGTACGGAATTCTAGCAAATTTCAATGCTTACTTCGAACTCAACATACGAAGTAGGTAAGCAAACTCTTGTCGTTAGTGCGAACGGTGAACATCAAGCATCTCGCCAAGATGCAAGATGTGAGAGAACTGTCGATTGTACACCGTCGACTCTAGACTATGTGAGGTGTAAGGTCTGAGAGTCTGATAACCATTCTGTCTTCATGTCAGGGAATCAGAAGCCAAAATTACAAATACAATCAAACTCACGCCACCGATGCGAGAATCGACAATTGACAGTTGAATAATAGTGGAATAAGTTTGTTCCAAGTTTGAGACAAGTATTGCATCAAAACTGACAGTGTAATGTAATTAATATTCATCGAGAAATTGGTTTTATTTTAATTCAAGAGTTGTTGATTTAAGGGTGTTTCCAGAAGGTTTACGGTGTGAAGCAGTATCGCAAGGTGTGTAAATTTTAATCAAAGCCGCTTAGGTTGGCGCAAAGCTCGTAAATCTTCACTTCGTATCGGATTACAGTCATGTACATTGTTCAACGCTGTACAGATTCAAGATAGGTTAGGTTAGAATAGAAAAACGAGTTTGTGCAATTTTTTCAAGTCACATTTATGCAAAACTATGTTTAAAACATGTGGTTGCAAAATAACATCCCACAAAAGTTAATCTAATCTATAATATAAAAATATCGCAAAATGTATTGGTAAGCGCATAATTCAACAACGCCTAGACAAATTTGGCCAATTCTTGTTTTAAAATATTCGTTAAAGTCTAAGGATGGTTTTCACGGCGAGAAAAATTCGAATAATTTTCGGGAAAACCCTAAAGACAGCCCTTTTGTATAGGATAAAAGTTGGTATTGAGATTCAATCATAGTTATAGTTAAATAGTTGAATCCGAGATGGCGCGCTGAAGTGCATTATCAGCTATTCTTTATACAATTAATTTCTTTAAAATAAAATTGCAAATCTAATTGATAAAATTGACACATACTATGTCTAGAACAAGAGAGTAAAACAAATTACATTTTTATTAAACACTACCCGGACGAAATCGCGGGCAAAAACTAGTATTTCTACTAAAATACAATATTTATAGATAATATTATTTCTCTTCAAGGGTTTGAATATTCATCTGCCTGATGATGCCACAGTGTGGCGAAACATGTCGCAGAGTGTTAAAAGTTTTGTGAAACCCTTGGAGTTAATCATTTCTTTCGACGATTATAATGGAGTTTCATCATGTAAGTGCCTCAACAATTCAATATATAATATTATTTAAAAACAGAAATAAAAATTTATTGAAACCTGTTTTTTCTATTTATATTTTCATGTTGCGAACACTATTGTCGGTTTTTCCATTAATCCACAATACTTTTGAAAATTTAATCCATTTGCGGATGAAACGAAATGAAATACAAATCATTTAATTCTACAATAAACTAAAATCGAATTTCATACTTTTCAGATTTTTGTATAAATAAAAACCTATTGATTTTATCAAACACGCCAAAAGTTGTTAAATATTTATTTAATATTGTCTATCGGCTTGAAAAAAAATCAATAACAAAAACCAAAAATCTAAACCGGAAATACGTGTCATTCTCACGATTTTTTTTTTACCAGCCTGCCATTTTCCTGTATTAAAATTCCGATCACGTTCCAGTTGAACGTTTGAACATTCGAAATGTTCCTTCCCGGTGGATTCCTCCCGATAGAAAGCAGGCAGAATGTGAAAAAGGACGAATTCAGTGCGAACCGCGCGTTAATTCGTAATGCGCTCCGCATCACGCACAAATCACACAAAAACGCACCACGAGGGGTGCAGCCCACCGAACGTATTTTGAAAGCAACCGCACGAATACAGGATCACGAAACCGAGGTGATAAATAAAAACGTGCTACTCCACACTCAGAAATATGTGGTAGGCAACAGAGTGGCCATTTAGCAGTAGGTATATTTGGTTGCATACCTTCGTAACAAGAATTTGAGCTACTCAAACCATTTTAAGAATTGGTTCGGTATGAAATGGAATTCAAAGCAAATTTGTTGCAATACATTAATTCGCGCGTTCACAATCCGAATATCATCAACCGGAAGCAGGGCTGGCAAGAAATTCAACAGTGTATATACATTGCAAAACACAGAAAACGATTAGTTTCGCATCTCAACTTAATCGAGTCGATTTCCGGCAAGAAAAGCCGTTCCACGTGGTTCCACGTGGAATGCGCTTTCTCAAGCGCCATTAGACATGATCCGCGCAATGCTCGTTTAACGCAGGAGCAGATTAATGCTGCATGCGATTAAGATATTAATCCTCATAACTCATAACTATTTAATATAAAATCAAATATTCTAAAGCAAATTAAAAGTTAAGGTAACCTAAATTTTTCTACGATTTTCACGTGTGATACAAACGTCAGATAAGAAGTTTTAACGCATAAAGTAAAACGAATTTCCGTGTCGATGTCGTGAAAAGAAAAATGCGTTTGGCGATGAAAAATGTCGCGGAAACTCTCGAGCAAGTGTGATTGAGTTCAAGCGAGCGGAAAATTTGGGATTTTCCCTTATGTCGACGTCCGACATCCTGCACCGTCACCGAAATTCCAGATTCAGAATTTCTTATGTTTTCAGGCGCAAAGCAAGTCAAATTAGATTTGATAAATCAAGAAATATGAAGAATAAAACAGAAACCAAAGCCAAAACGCACAAGTGAATTTATTATTAGCTTTATTATTTATTATTATTATTATTATTTGAATTTAAATGCAAACTGATGAATAATATCTTCACTGTTGGAATAATTCAAGCGTCGAGAACTAAACTCAATCGCGTTAGTTAACTAGCTCGAATTTAATCGAATGGAATTCAATAGAATAGAATTGAATTGAATTAAGAAATGCTTTGTTTAAGTTAAATCGTGTGTCACAAATGACTTTATCTTCGAAATTGATTCGTGCATATCCAAACGATGTCGTTAGAAAAAATAAAAATAAATTTTAAATATAAATGATTCCTACCTTGTGGAAGAAGGCCTGCTTCGATGAGTCGCGCTTCCATGAGTAACTTCGGCAGTAAAAGAGAGAATGCAATCACAAGATGGAGGAATGGCGCAGTAGGCCCGCCATGTTTGAACAGGCCGCAACCACCGTCGCCTTCTAGCGTGTCGGCTGGTTTCTCACGGCTGCATGTGCTCAACTGGCGGCCTAACTTGAAGCCATCGTTGGCTAAATTGCCAATCTGGATAAGAACAATTATTATTTAGTTTTTTTCCTAATTTATAAAAAGTTTAAAACTTACTTTGAACGCTGCTGAAGCTAAGAAAAATGGCAGTAAGAGTACAGCGGCTGCAGTTAGGCCCAAGCTTGCATTCATCTCCAAAATTGGAAGAGGATGAGCTTCTGGCCATGCCATCACCGAATAACCTTTAAAAATTCAAAATTGTTAAGTAAAATTCAAATTTGAAATGTTTTTAATTACCTAATATTCGTTTGATGCATTTCACTGATGTGTAAGCTTGTAAAACAGTACCAAGCGCACCGTACCAAAAAGACCACAAATTATTAAGATGGACGGTCGCACACCGCTTCCGTTTTTGACAGCCGGAGGCACCTGTCAACGACGGTGTGCACCCTCGTGACGGCGCCAGTGTTGTCTTTGGCCGTTTTGACTTCACGTCGTTGTTGTTCTCATAGCCGACAATACTGCCTGACGTCGTCGACGACATTTTCGTCGCCAACGTGCGCTACTCACCGCCAGAGGACGCTAGACGGGGCTGGTTGGATATAACCCGACGTGATACATATCTGATGTTTGAATCTGCAACAAATTAAATAGATAGGTTATTATAAAATTATAAAATGGTCAAAATTTTGGTGAATTATGTGCTTTTGTGATTAATTTGCGCATTGTGATAAATTTTAAGAGGATTTTTGGTTATCGTCCTCGATTGGCGCTATTCGATGGCTGCGATCAATCATAATAGCGAGCGGCGCGCACAGATTATTAAGCCGGATAACAATGAGTAATTAGTGTCAATATGGCGGCTTGCTTATTTAATCAATGTCGTCGTCTGCCGGTTTAGTCTAGCCGCCCCACATATATACATATCCAGACACAGCGAGGTTCAAATTAAGTGCGGTTAGACAGTTTCGACCAGTGGGTAACATTGTACATACCTAGATTTATATACAATGTGTTCAAGACACTTAAAAGCTTAAAAACTTTCAAAAACTTGCATTACAGAAAAAATTACTAAATATATACAAATATAACTATTTTAATTTAATACCTTGAACGCACTGTATGTAAGTGTATTGTATCACAATCTGCAATGGCATCGCCGAACATAATAGCGCCATAATAGTTTGCAAATGGGACGCATCGCATGCATGCAGCGCACGCACCCACCAAACCACCCTCCTGAGTGCCACCCCCGCGGTGGGTGGTGGACTGCACATATTGCGAAACATGTGCACAGTGGAAGTCCACCTCACTATGGAGAATATTGGAGAACCATCATGGAGTCTATGCAGACAAAACGCACGCGAAACGCATGAAACGTGATGTGAGGGATGAAATGAACACGGCGGGGTGTGGCGAGCCCAATGTGCGCCACATGTGCTGTACGCGCATCCGAAAGGGTTGCTTTCGAATTGATTACGGAGGTAATTACTATGAATATGATTAAATAAATTGGAAATTTCTGATAATTAAAGTTTATGAAATTAAAATATGCATTTTAAACTTTTATAAATTTTAAAATGATACTGATAAGTAATTTAAATTGCTTTACAACCCAAAATACAAACAAATTTTTATGGATTTTGTATCGGCAGTGTTTAATAAAAGGTAATTTGTTTTACTCTCTTGTTCTCGACATCATATGTATCAATTCTATCAATAACATTCGCAATTTTATTTTAAACAAATTAATTATATAAAGAATTTCAAATAATGCATTTCAGTGCGCCATCTCGGATTCAACTATTAAACTATAACTATGATTGAATCTCAATGTCAACTTTTATCCTATAGAAAAAGGCTGTCTTTAGGGTTTTCCAGTCAATTATTCGAATTTTTCTCGCCGTAAAACCATCCTTGGACTTAAACGAACATTTAAAAAGAATTAGCCAAATTGGTGTAGGCGTTGTTGAGTTATGCGCTTACCAACATATTTTGCGATTCATTTTAATATTATAGAAAATTCTAAAATAATGTATTTTCAATTGTAATTTTTTCATCCCCTACGACATTTCATTTAGGCGTAATCTCAAATTAAATAAAACGTGTAATAGATCATTTAATTATCCATTCAAAATTGAGGATATACCAAAGTCCAATAATAAAAAGTTTCTAAAAACACATCAATCCACAAACGTAAATGAGTAATGAGTTAATCAGGTTTTCACCTGGTGCCTAATCAAGGAGTAGCTCCCAACGAACGCCTATCCTCGATCACCATTTTCATTTTCATTTTTATTTTCATTTTACGCTTTATTAAATTAGAAGAGGGCTGCGAGCAAGAGAGCAATATGCACGTGGCCAGACATGGAAGACAGTACTGATCGATTTTGCTGTCAATTAAGTAGCGGCGTACGTCTATGTCAAAACCACCCTTAATAATTATTGAACGGCGTGTACATCTTCATCCCTTAAAATATGCATAATTATGTTCATGGACATGTACAAATTTATTTTTATTTATTTATTACGTACATTTTCATGTATATCACTACCTCCATCTATATATAAATAGCTTTCACATATAAAATAAGTAAATAGTATAGTCATTAATATTATAGTCTAAAATAGAATTTTTAAAGTTTAATTTTGTTTCCCAGCGTTAAAATACTTCGCATAGCTGACTGGTGATACATTAGTGTGTGTCATCCCTCTCATCCCCTTCATCCTTTCTGCACATGCATATTCCACACGCGCACATTCATTCATTGCAGATGACAAACTGTCAAACACCAAAAACGTTCAATATTTACGCGCCGTCTTTGCATGGCGTAATATCCGCCACCCCTATGCACATCTTCACCCTCAGCTTTAATTCTCACACCCTCCTAAAGTCTTTCAAATCAAAAACTGCGCACAGATAAAACTTTCATTCAAATATTCAAATAATGAATTTCTTTTATTTATTTTCGGTTATTTCAATAAACGGCATATTAAAACTTGGTATTTGAATTTGAAAACATCTTGGAAATAAATTAGCACACTTCAAACGCAGGTACATACTCATCAAGTACATCTTGTCATATTATCATATACAGTGTGTCACATCTATGCCATCTTCACCCTTGAAAGATAAGTGTTGTTCAGATTAATACTGTAAACATTTCTTCCTATATATTTTTTCTTTTAATGCCACAAAAAAGTAAGAATAAGGGTTGAAAGTTTAAGGGTAACTAATGTAAAACCGCATTCGGTGGCTGTATAATACAACAACACTCGTGTGTGTTTTCATGCAAAGCTTAAGTGTGTACTCTACTCTCCCTGTACTCTAACTCTACCCCCGACAATACCTACGGGTTGAGAATCTGAGGGTCTGAAGGCGAAAGTAGTGTGAACCTTCAAGGTGTGTGCAAGTGTGGTAGACTTAAAGTTGTTGTGATTGATTTGTTTGACATTTTCCTCTTAGAGGTTTTTTCATGTATTTTCTTTCGTTTTCACCCCTTACGAAGAAGAATAAATAGAAATACAACTAACAGGAGTAGGCAGATGGAATAAAATTATTTCATGCTTATTTACTTTTAGAAACACTTAAATATATAGCTCAAGGTAGCGCATATGTTTTAGTATAACCTCATTAATTGTATCGTGGGTTGCCTATGTTTCATTCAAATAAAAGATAAAATATTTCTAAAATATAGAAAGAAACAGCAACACAGCATTGAATTTCAAGCCTCTACACTTCAAAGTTACTCGTCCTGGAATTCTATACAGAATTTTCTTTAAAGCTAAAGCCCTGGATGCAAGACAAAAAAAATACAAGGAAAAAGATTTTAGGTTTAGGAAACGTGCCTGAAACGCGCACAAAGAGAACAGAGTATAAAAGTACATCAGGATAAAGAGTACAAAATGTCTTTTGATACCTCTGACATATCAGATACTGTTGATGTAAAAAATGAGAAATGCATGCAACCAACTCCACAACTTTTAACATAACCTTAACTTTACTCTACTATATCAACTCCTACAACTCCTGCAAAATTAACATATCACTTTGTAGAACGTTTGTCATGTGTGTCACGTATGAAATTTTGTCTTTCCAACATGCAAACAAGGTTAATTCGTTAGCCACGGTGTTTTGCGCTCACGTCGCTTCGACTTTGATGTTATTGTCACTTTGTCACAGGCGCTATTGTCACCGCTGCAACTTCGTCGCCCCACGCGACTCGTAACTTTAAACTCTCGTACCCTAGCGGTATTCGTAACGCTAACCTGTTTTCTAAAACAGCGCAAAACCGAAAAACTTTTGTTAGAAATTGCACGTGACACGTGTAACACACACTCATTTAATTAGGTATGTGTTGGAAGTTGCTATAACATGTTTGAGCTGTTTTGTAGTTAATCTAAATTGTATGTTGACAATGTGTATATTAAGTTGCATATAGTCTCTGGGAATAGCATAAAGAATAAAGGGTTTAATCAGATGTGAACTAGGCCGAAGGCTAAAGGACATTGACACTTTATGTAGTAATATTAAAGTGTTGTGTATGTTGCTTTGTTATATGGAATACAACAAGTTGTAATTAGTTAGCTAGATACTTGTTAACTCTCCCCTTGGTGGTAATTTCGCACCCCTTTAACAAAATTTCCACTTTTCAGTGCTTGCCACTTTTCTCTTTCCACTCGGCCAATCTACCTGCAGTCATTTCAAGCATTTTAAGCATTTTAAGCGTTTTGCACAATTTGAAACCACGTCGATTTCCTGTGTTAAGCGCTTTCATGTTCTGTCCCTTAAGCCCACTGTGGTGTGAACAGCGGAATGTTTTTCGGTCGAATCGCTCGAAATAAATGGCCTGTTATTTAATTATCGCACACGCGACACACAACTACGTACAGAATAAAACATTCACGCTTGAAATATATTAGGTGCGCAACCAGACGAGCAAATTGCACATCGAGGGGTTTGGATATGGTTATGGTTTTGGTCCAGGGTGCTCGAACAAATAGCAATACATCACACAATGTTGAGGACGAATGTTGATGCGCAAAATTTCATCTGTCAGCACGTGCACGTACACAAGTAGGAAAATTGGCAGGATAATTGGTATGAAAATGTGCTGAGGGTTGCAGATTTAGCTCAGCGTGGCGAGACGTGCGTAAATAGTGCGGACGGCCAACAAATCAACAATAGTTTAACCAAACGTAGGAAACGATGCATACAAATCAAACAAGTCAAACAATCAGCAAATATTTAATGGGCAGTATGCAAAATGCATATGTCCAGACACAGACGTCAGTAAATAAATCACAAAATAGTGATAGATGGCGGTAGTAGTGATAATTTTTATGTTAAAAAGAAAAAAAAGTTTTTTAAAAACTTTAAAGTTAGGCAGTTTATCACTCCTTAAAAGACACTTAATACTTCCTTACTTCAGATACTAGATATTTGATATTACAAAGAAAAAGGGGAATATCACAAAGTTATTCCTTGGTAAAAAAACTCTTCTAATACTGTTCTAAGGGTCCGTGGGTTATCAGATTCCAAACCGACAGACCCTCGAAAAGACAAGAAAACTGCCAGAAGGCAAAAAGTTTCGGGATGTATAAAACTTTGAAAATTACGAACTTCTTAACTCCCA